GTCTTGCTGTCGTGGGAGAAAAACGCTGGGGGGCTTTTAGCAGGGAAATTTCTCCAAAGAACACTTTCGCTTCCTGTAAGATCTTCACTTTCCAGTCAAGGAATTTACTTTGGGGTCACTTTTGCGAAAAATGCCTGTGCTCTGAAGAAGAATGCTGCTTGGATAAAAGACTTGAACGTTCTCAGGGCAGAACAATTCCACAAAAAACAAGACATGAACTCTCTTAGGGCAGAACAATCTTACAAAAACATCTTTTTCTCAAGGATTTTTCACGATACTTACTTACTTAGATACTTAGATGGCCCGGCTGCATGTATGTCGTGCAGGCCCCAGCACAGAAGTTTCCATTTCTCCCTGTCCTTCGCTTCAGATATCCACGATCTTCTTGGTTGATGTCGGTGGCTGCGTCCACGAGTTCGGTGCAAAAATCGCATCCAGCTGATTTTTCAGCTGGTCCATTCGTTCCACGAACACGTTTGCCCATCTTGTTGGACGCCTTCCTCGGAGACGTTTTACTTTGCGAGGAATCCGCGCCTGTGTTCTTAGTGTCCATCTGTCGTCTGTTATTCTTATAATGTGACCGGCTCACCGATGCTTCGCGTTCGCAACGTAATCCGTTAAGTCACAAAAACGGAACATTCTTTTAATATCTACTGCGAAGTCCCACAAGGTGTTGTTTGTGTCGGGTCATCTACAGAAGACTACGCTCTAAAGCTCTTTAGGTGGTCTCGTTAAAGCTTTCGACGTGGCTACAGTGTCGGCCCAAGTCTCAGCTGCGTAACAGAGCGCCGGGAGAACGGTTGAGTCGAACAGGTGGGCACGAAGCTCCGGGTCCGTCAGTTGGTCGGTGGCTTCCTTCAGAGGCCCGAAGGCGGCCCAGGCTGCTCTTCTTCTCCTGTTAAGTTCTTCCCTCAAGTCGTTCTCCATGTTCATCGAACGTCCGAGATACACGTAAGAAGACGTCTCCATGATAGGGGTGCCTTCCAATTCCATTTCTGCATCTTCGCAAAGGGCGTTCTTCATGAACTGAGTCTTCTTCCAAATTATTCGCAATCCGATCTTTTCCCTACTTCGTTTAGTTCCTTCGGCATGTCTCTGCTTCAGTGATAGTGCTGGAAAAGAGAACGATGTCGCCCGCAAAACGAAGGTTCGACAGGAATCTCCCCGACAACTCGTATGCCTCTCTTTTCCCAGTCCAGTGACTTCATCACCCGCTGCAAGGCCGCGGTGAACAGCTTCGGCGAAATAGTGTCGCCTTGTCGAACCCCCTTCCCAGTTGGAATGGTCAGGGGGCGATGGAATAGCGGCATCGTTGTTGTACAGTCCTTGTAACAGTCGGCTAACGTCCTCACGTAAGGGGTCCACTTCTTGATCGACTAGCGCTGACAGGATGGCGTTGGTTTCGACGGTGTCAAGGCTTTCTCGTAGTCAACGAAGGTTGGGACGAGAGACGGTCGGTATTTCCGGCAGACTTCTATGACCCTCGAAACCGTCCGGATGTGGTCCATGCGACTGAATCCCTTGCGGAATCCAGCTTTTTCTTGGGGTTGAGCTTCATCCAGTGTCCTAGATATGCGAGCGAGTATTATCTTTGTGAAAAGCTTGTAGAGCACACTCAGAAGGTTATATTGAACTTTAGTTCCAAAGATCCTCCCGTTTACCTTTCTTTCTGAAAGTAAGATGTTAGGTGCGACGCAAAAATGTTGTGTAAACGTTATCCTTCGGCTCGCAGATATTCACGGAAAGATGGTCTAGTCCTGGAACCGTGGACGTTTTCATGGTCTGAAGCGCAGTGCGCATTTCAGCAGGTAGAATTCGTGGTGGTACTTCTCCAGCGGGAACAACGGGCATCGGCACGGGTGATGATGAGCAAAAGCGGAGCGGAACACTGTCACCTAATGAGAAATCTACGTTCAGCATTTGCTGATAGAATCCCATTTTCCTAAGTCTACTCCTAAAAAGGAAAGAGAAGAGCAGAAAACTTTTGTGAAAAACACGCTTGAAACTTTTTACTCTATAAGCATCCTACTTCTGCCTCCAAAAAAAGATAAGATGGGGCGAACTTGGTTTCGCTGGCAGAAAAGACGAAGAATTTCGTGCGCCGAACACTTTTTTAACAACTCCAAAGGTTTGTAAGCCTAGCCGAAAGATACTTTCGACTTCTTCTACTTTAAGAACATCCTACCTTTAACTCTGAAAAAGAAAAGAGCAGGGGCTTGCTCTCGTTGACAGAAAAGATCAGGGGATGTATGCGACAGGATCCTTTTTTTTTACAACTCTTAGCTTAATAAACCTTGCAGAAAGATACTTTTGAGGTTGCCAACTATGGAAACACCCTTCTATTGCCTCTGAAAGAGCAAAGAACAGGACTTGGTTTTGCTGGCAGAATATACCATTCATTTGACAGGCAGAAGTACACTTTTTCAACAATTCCTAAGCTTGAAAAACTTTGCCAATAGATACTTTGGCGCTCCCTTCTCTAACAAGGAAAGGTTACTTGGTCGAAGTAGAGTTTCTATGAAATATGTACTTATCTTATAGTGCACGAAACCTGATTCCAAATCTGCTTTCGGCATCTGCAAAGCGCTTCTGGCTAGAGAATTATGGGAATTTTTTTCAAACAATAATTTGAAAGCTGCGATATAATCGCCCAAAAATGTAGTTCTGTGAGCTCGAATTGAGTCATGATCACTGCCAAGGTGCTTCACGCAAATTTACCTTCAGCTTAATACATGCCAGTTATTACTCCTTTCAAGCTTCGGAAAACTTCAATAACTGTTTTCACCTTCTCAGGGACTCGCGCCGTGCAGACGGCCAGCGACGACCTTATAAACGCTCGTTGGTGTTGCGATTGTACGTTTCAAGTGCCGGTAGTACGGTGGACGTGGAGCGCCCGCACGGTTTCTAATGCTCGCCGCTTGCGCGGGGAAAGTCGGCCGCTCGTTTGCTGTTGGGGTAATTTTGTATAGGATACTTCGACCATTTTTTGGATATGTTAATTGTGAGTGAGGTGAGGATTACAAGTGTAACCTCACTAAGGTCTATTCCTGCCTTTCTGGTGAAGTAAAATGTTGAGAGTACGACCTGTGAACGCTTGTGTCAGCCTAAACGCCGCGTCGTATCTCACGCAGGCACCGTTTACGGTCACATTGTGTGATAATTGTGAGAAGATGATGTACAGTCGCTTCATTTCATATGATCACGTGTGTCATTGCACACACAGTTCATTTTTGGCGTCCCCATCCTGGATTCGTGGGAGAAACAAGCCTTCAGGTAAGTGTTCCCAAGGTGTTCTTAGCATTTTCTTTCCTTTTTAGTTACTAGTCACCTCAAATTGATGTAATCGACAACAATCGGTAAGTCTTTTGCGTTCTTGCGATTGCAAATCCAGGATGAGGACACCAAAGTGGATTGTGTGTGCAATGGCACACATGATCATATGAAAAGAAGCGACTGTAGGTCACTGTTGGCCGCTTGCACGGCAGAGGGTATTGCCGTCCGGTAAGACGACACATTGCTGGCCGCTCGCTCGAGCAAGTGTATTGCCGCCCGTTTGCACGGTGACATTGCCTGCCGCTTGGACGGCGCTTTAGCTGTTTGCCGCACGTACGGAAACTTTAAGCTTATGTCGCCCGCTCGTAGGCTAATCTTTGTAGGAGGACCGCTCGCACGGCGCGAATCCCTGAGTTAGTCAAAGCATTATAAATCTCTACCTCAAAAAAAAAATCCCCATAACTCCCCTTCTAGAAGCGCTTTGCAGATAGCGAAGGCAGATTCGGAATTAGCGTTTATGTGCTCTATAAAATAGCGTACATATTGTATGGAAACCCCACTTCGACCAGGTATCTCTCCCTTGTAAGGACATCCTACTTTTGACTCTGAAGGAGAATAGAGCAGGTCAATTGTCTTGCATGCAGATCAAGGACTTTATGCGACAAGTCACTTATTCTACGAATTCCTAAGCTTCACAGATAAATTTTGAAAGACTTTGCCAAAAAATCTTCTAAGGTTGTCTATTCTAAAACAACCTGCTTTTGCCTTTGATGGAGGAAAGAGCGGGGCAAATTTGGTCTCACTGGCAGAAAATACCAGAGAATTTATGTAACGAACACTTCTTCTTTGAACATTCCTAGGCTTAAGAAGCTTTGTCAAAAGATAGTTTTGAGATTTTCCTAACTAAGAGCATCCTACTTTTGCCTCCAAAAGAGAAAGCAGGGAGACTGCTGTCAGACTAGACCAGGGACATTATGCAACAGGACACTTTTTCTAAGAACTACACTTCACAGATATATTTCAGAAAACTTCACTAAAAGATACCTTTTGATTTTCTACTCTAAAAACACCCTACTTTTGCCAGGGTCTTTATACGACAGGATACTTTTCCTAAGAAGTCTTATGCTTCACAGATAAATTTTAAAAAACATCACAGAAAGACACTTTTGACAGTCTCTGCTTCAAAAACATCTTACTTTTGCCTCCAAAAAAAGAGAAGGACAAACTTGATTTCGCTGGCAGAAAATACCAGAAACTTCATGGAGCAGTTTTTTACAACCTTCTGGGTTCCACGTTTAAATTTATAAAAATTTGGCGATAAAACTTTCGGTTTATACACTCTAAAGACGTCCTACTTTGAATCCAAAGGGAAAAGAGCAGGGCGAACTTGGTCTCGCTGAATGAAAAGAGTCAGAGACATGCTACAATATCAGTTTTCAATATTATCCGTTACTTCTATCGATATCGATTTCTTGCAAAGTTTGAGCTACCTGGAAGTTGGCACAGGGGTAAGTGAGCGTGCTGATTACTAACACAGCGGGATTAGGAAATTAGCAGGTAGAAATGGGCACAGGGAAGGTTTTACCGGGATAGGAATGAAAAATAATCATCATAGTTCATCCTTAATCATAGTGTTTTGAAGGGCCGGGCGGAGTTTTCAACTCTAAGCTCCTACAAATTGGCGCATCTTGAATGCATGGATGTAAGAATGAAAATAAGTATGCTGCCGTGATTAATCCATTGATGGAGAATGAGTTGATGTGAGGTGAAGAGATACTCAATGAAGTTGCTTGCAGTCGACTCAGCTGTTCGTCGAAGAGTTCCGCTTTCTGATAAACATGAAGATCTTGGACGGTTTGTACCTAAGCATAGACTGTAAGAAGCCGAACGATGCAGAATGCCAAACTCACCACTTCATAATCGAAAAATTCCGTACTTGGAGCACCAGTTATTTCAATACTAAATGTGTTTCTTCCTACATAGGGAAGCAGTTTATGTATGATGGAGCTATCAGACGTGACCAGTTTGAACCGTTCCGCCAGCAAGGTTGAAGTGGAAAACATTTTCAGTGCATGCGCAACTCCTGGCGTCAGAAAATGCTGGAATTTCCAAAACTGCTTGAACCAGTCAGGGCATGGACGGTGTCTTGGAAAAAAATCTGATATCATATGATGTTATGGTACCTCTTGTTTTGCTTAATTTACAAGCTAATCTGCAAAGTGAACCAAAAGAGACTGAATAACTGAGACAGTCTGCGCGCGATTTCAGAAGATATGAACGAAGTACTCAAATGGATATTGACACGGTAAACATCATGGCGTACCCAGAACTTCCGTTCGGGAAGGGGCGACAAAAACTGCGGACCTTTAACCCCGAAATCTCAGAGAAGAAACGGCGTAGCGCGCACCCGGAAAAAAAATTCTATAAGGCTATTTTGAATTTTTGAATCATTCTAAAGATAATTTTAATAATATATGAACAAGTCAGTGGCACATTTTCACACATATAAGTAACTTTCAAAAATTTCGCGACCCATTCTCGGGAGGACCTCTCCCCTTGGCACGCCACTGGTTAACATTACCATACTGGTCGTACAAACTATAATGTTTTTGTAACAGAATATCTCAAATTTAAGCCCATGCGATACAAATTACATTGTTTATAATGCAAAAAAAAGATGAACTCAAAAGTAAGTCCAACAGCGCACACTTGGACAAAATTGCGAAAGCGGTGGTCATGTGAACTTTCGTTTCCTTTCCTTCCCCCCCCCCCACCCCCCGATCTTTCCTTTGAAGGCACCGTCCACCCAAAATGGAGGTTGGCGAGATTATGAGTGCCTACTAGTGTGGGCCCCCATACTAGATTCCCAAGCTTCACCACAAAAGACTGCTCCTGGAGCGAGAAATCCGCTTCGGAAGTAGCAAAGTGGGCGAGGCGACCATGGTCCTCGACAAAAACATTGAATTCGAGATTTTGGGTGGACGGTGCCCTCAAAAGAAGTTAAAGACATTGTGGAAAAAATTCCTCACTTTGCATTGAGAACTCACTGTGAAAAAGGAGATTAAGATTGTCGTTAATAGGCCATTATTAGCACCACAAATGAAGAGAAAAGATGAAAAAGAGAAAAAACAGCTTAAAACATTGATCATAGTGCTCTTCCACTTGCGAACTGTGGGAGAAGGGGGAGGGAGGAAAGGAGGCGCTCGCGAAATCTTTGAAAAGCCTACATGAGTACTAGAAATTGCACAGCTGACATGTTTTCACAAGATTTAATTCTCAAAAATGCTCAAAAATTCAAGTTAGACTTGCAAAGAAATTTTTGGGACCGTTGATCGTAAAGGTCTCCGCCATGCCGCGCACCTTTTTCTAGGCCCGTATGCATGTACATCCCGCGTGGAGGGGAGAGGACCTGAGAGGGGAAGCGCTATATCTCGCCAGTTTATATGTCTTTCTTCTTTTTTCTCTGTCTTGCTTTTAAAGGTTCTCATACACTGATACCTGCGCATAACGGATGCCAGGTTACTACCATTATAGATTAGATATTCAATACTTTGTCTGATCCCCTGGGGATCCCCAGGGGATCAGACGAAATAGTGAATATCTAATCTTGTATGGCAGTAAACCTGGCATCCATTATGCGCAGGTATCAGTGTATGAGGAACTTCATAAGCAAGATTGAGAAAGAAGAAGAAAGATATGTAGAATAGCGAGATATGTTGCTTCCCCTCTCAGATCCCCTCCCCTCTCCGCAGGGATGTACGTGCATACGGGCCTTAGTATAGGGCCGCTTATGAGAGATTCCTCCCAAAAAAGATTTGAGAAGAATCTCAAAAATTATTTTTTGAAAGGCGCCAAACATGCCTCTTCAACAGAAAAAATAACTTCTGTTATCCCTCCTTTCGAAAAAATTTCTCGGACAGCCATTGTGCTCATCCCTGACTCAGCAAGTACGCTTTTCTATGAAATGTTTACAGTACTTGAAGGAAACTATTATTAGGTTGTTGCAAAAATAATGTCCGTTTTTCTGGACCTATATTCCAAATAACTTTTTTCCCATCAAACTTTCTTTTTCGATATAGCATCTGCACATCATTGGAAAGCTATGTTTATGCACTTTCTCATGGGGGTGAAATTAAGCTGCTATCCTCACTTGTGAGATTTCACCAGCATTTTCCACATCTGCACTCAAAATCAGAATCTCATAGCTTCCACTTTCTTGACCACAATTCAGGTGCAAATAAACGAATTCTTCTGAAAACATAGCATGTGTATTGAATGAAGATTGTTTACCTACGCGTGCTTATGTAGATTTTTGGAGAAATGTGGAATGAGAAAATGACGCGTCAAAATTAGACACTCGCTGCTGGCATTCTATGGGTCAGAAATCTTATATATAAAGCTGAATGTCTGTTTGTCTGTATGTCTGTCTGTCTGTCTGTCTGTCTGTCTGTCTGTCTGTGTGTACGTATGTTCCGAATAGAAAATTCCATTTCTGAACCGATCCGGACCAAACTTGGCACACATACACTACGGGCCCCGGCGGGTGTCATAGGCTACTTTTCGTCATCGATCGATATCGATTTTATCGATTTTTATCGATTTTTTTGCTGAGTTCACCTACGGGGCTGGGAGTTGGCACAGGGGGGTAATCGAGCATGGGGATTCCGAATACAATATTGGTTTTCAGGATTATCGATTACTTTTATCGATTTTATCGATTTTTTTGCAAAGTTTGAGCTACGGGGCTGGGAGTTGGCACAGGGGGGTAATCGAGCATGGGGATTCCGAATACAATATTGGTTTTCAGGATTATCGATTACTTTTATCGATTTTATCGATTTTTTTGCAAAGTTTAAGCTACGGGGCTGGGAGTTCGCACAGGGGGGTAATCGAGCATGGGGATTCCGAATACAATATTGGTTTTCGGGATTATCGATTACTTTTATCGATTTTATCGATTTTTTTGCAAAGTTTGAGCTAGGGGGCTGGGAGTTGGCACAGGGGGGTAATCGAGCATGCTGATCATCCCCAAGGGGGTGATCAGCATGCTCGATTACACCCCTGTGCCAAATTCCAGCCCCCTAGCTCAAATTTTCAAAAAATCGATAAAATCGATGAAAGTAATGGACGATCTTGAAAACTAATATTGTATTCGTAATCTGCATGCTCGATTACCCCCTGTGCAAACTCCCGCCCCGTAGGTCAAACTTTACAAAAAAATCGATAAAATCGATAAAAGTAATCGACGATCCTGAAAACTAATATTGTGTTCGTAATCAGCATGCTCGATTACCCCCCTGTGCAAAATCCCAGCCTCGCATGTCAAAATTTACAAAAAATCGATAAAATCAATAAAAGTAATCGACGATCCTGAAAACTAATATTGTATTCGGAATCCCCATGCTCACTTCCCCCCCTGTGCCAACTCCTAGCCCTGTAGGTGAACTCTGCAAAAAAATCGATAAAAATCGGTAAATTCGACATCGATCGATAACGAAAAGTGGACTTTGACACCCGCCGGGGCCCGAAGTGTATGTGTGCCAAGTTTGGTCCGGATACGGCGGAGCCGGGTAAGCCAGCTAGTTTCTCATAATTAAGGCAATCGCCAAAGCTTCGCCCATTTCTGTCAGCTTGAAATTAGCACACCTTAACTACATTATTTGAAGAGAAACTTAGCTATTCAGTGCGTTTTCAAATTTTCATAATTAGGCACTTACAAGCCTACAACAAATAGGCTCAAAAAAGTGAACATTTTTGAATTTTTATCTTTTCTTTTCGCAGAACTCCTTCGTTGGAGTTTTCTCTATACACACATATACTATTGGCCTGCGGCTACAAAATGAGCTAATTAGCAGACATAGGGACAAAGCTTGAAGGGAGTTGTAAGCTCTTGAAGACGAGCTTTCAAGAGAAAAATTTTCAGTTTTCTGACGCATGGTTTCTTCCCGTTTGCGATATCAGTATGGGCAGGGGCGCGCTAAGTTAAGAAAGGTTTGATGTTTCTGATGGTCTTAACTGCATTCAAAAATATGGAGACTGAACGGAGTTATAGCCTTCCAAAGTGAAAATGTGCAAAACGGACATTATTTTTGCAACAACCTAATAGATATTAAGAACTGTTATGCATGATTGCATGTGAACAAGATTGCATGTGAACAATCTCAAAACATTCGATGTTAGATCCACATGGAGTTAGGAAAGAATCTTTGAATTTTGGACCAGATTTTCGTTCAAAGACGTGTTCCAAAAACGTCTTATGTTAGTCATGCATAACTGTCCACGACATTCATGTGTGAAGCTGTTGCATTCTTCCAACTGAGAATCGAAAAAAAGTAGGCTAAAGCAAAATTGTCGCCTCGCCTTTTTGGTTTTCAAACAAAATTTGATATTCCTTGTCAGATAAACTTTGAAAACCTGCCAATCTTTTCTCATGTCATAGCCTTAAAAAATACAGCCTCTTTACGAAAACTGAATTTTAGACGGAGATCTAATTCAAACATTAGGAATATTTGGAATTTACTTGAAAATTTCGTCTGAATTGAATCTTCTGTGATTGTTTAAATGCCGTCTCGTAGAGCTTGCTTGAATGAACATCATGCTTCCTACATTTGTTTATTAACTCTGAGGCAATAGCGTAAAATAATTGTTATTCGTTCAACCCAATATTTTTTCTCGGCCATTCATGCGATCCCTTTTTACAATCCTCCCAGAGGTCTCCCCATTGCTGGTCCATTTTCAAGCCAAGTTTCAAAAGGATGTTCTTAGATGAGTTCAAGAAAGTTTACAATTCTTCTGGCGTACTTCTATAATCAAATCAATAATAATTCGATAGGAAGCCAGCGATAAATCTTGGATAGATATCATGGTAGTAAGCGTCAACTCACTAGGATAATTTCCAAAAACTGCACGTTTAAAAAGTCTGTGAAGTGGAACAGAATTTCTATGGCAGTGAATTCATAGTCCTGATCATAATGCACGCTACGCGCTCCACTTCTCTGTACGATACATCCTCCCATACTATCTGGGAAAAAATTGAATTTATACTCCTCATATGACCCAGGAATATTACGCAAGACTATCAGGCACATGTTGTTAACGGGGAAAACCTGGAAACTGATATAAAGTATAATTTCTCTCATTTAAGCAAAAATCTTACTGCATTTGCTCTTTTGGCCTCGAGCTGAATCCTTTCCATTTTGATTCTTGCTTTACTGGCCAACAAAAACGACTCTCTGCTCAATAACATAAACCGCATCAGACTTCTGAATGGTAGGTACTGCAGAATTTTCACTTTCAGTTCTGCTGGAAGATCACGCCACATGTGTTATTTACTGCAGCTCGACGCTTAACTAAAATAGCAGATTCAATGCACCGCAATTTCCCGGTCAATTGAAATGCGCGAAATTATCATGTATGCAGGATTATAAACCTTAGCGCACTTTGTGAAAAAAAATAGGTTTTGGCATTGATACATTGGTACAACACCGCTCAAAAGTGCAAAATCCCGCGTATGTCGCGGAAAAACGAGGATTACGCGGAAGTCGGCGACATTCCGGGAATTCTGAGATATTCTGGGATTTCTGCAACATTCCGAGGATTCCGCGTAATCACACGAATCACACAAGTTACGCAGCGCCATGACTTCCTTCAGGATGTATATATTCAAAAAATATATATGTAGACATTCGAAAAAAAGCAGAGAGAGAGTCTTTCTCAAAAGAGATGAGAGAGCTGATAAATTCTGGGAAAATCATGTCGTCCCATATTCTATTTTATACTCACATAACCACAACATATGAAGCTCTCGGGTTGAGCAGATGTGATTTTGGTGATCAGCAGGTCAGATAACCTCCATGTAAAGTTTTTTACTTTTTATGCGTGATGTGCGCTACGGTCATACCTTCAATAGTGTAAAGATAGGGCGTCAAAAGTGAAGGTTGTTTGAGAATTCTGTTCCCCCCCCCCCCCATAAGAGGTTAAAGTTTTTTTTATAGGAAATCAAAGAAGAGAAAAAGATGCAAAAATAGCAAAAGCGGAAAAACTTTCTAGTAATAAAAACGCTGCAGTAAGTCTGAAGTTTTTCGTTTGGCGGCATTTCGAATTGCAGGTTTTCCCTTCAGGACCAGGCAATCTACAGCACGAGGGAAAACGAAAAAAAGCTAGTTTCTTCTCTGTGATCGTTTAAAAAACGTATTTTGGATCTGGTGCTTACCAAGAAGACATAAACCAAAAATATTCAGTTATGAAAACGCAAAGTTTCGTTTTTTCCTAAGTCGAAATGCACGTCAAAGACAAACTAGTTTCTGATGCGCCCTTAAATTTCAACCCCTTCTTGTAGTTTCTGTTTCTGGCACGTTTTTAGCTTTGTTGCGCTCATAATCCTGAGCCAAATTCCCCCAGCATGTAAGAAATAGTTGCTTACTAACTCCAACAAAAGCCTATGAACAAAAACGCACTTTTTTGTAGCTTTCTGCTAGATATTTCACCACAATCAAGGAAAAACCGGCGATGTTGTCTACGTTATGAATGAAGCAAGATCCATGGAGTGCACAAAAAACCCGCATGAAAAGAGCTGAACTGAAGAAAAACAAGGGATTTTCGAAAACACTGTCTCTGCCAGATTTTTCGTTCAAATCAGAAAGTGGAGTTCTGCGACGTTTTCAGCATGAAAGTAGAGATCAAGAGCTTCAATGATATACAGTTTGCTAAGATCTATTAGGTCGTTTCATATGTTCGTAGATTTATAAATCAACTAGCTGGCAAACCCGGCTCCGCCCGGCCCTGTCATTATTAAATTCGTAATCAGCATGCTCGATTACCCCCCTGTGCCAACTCCCAGCCCCGTAGCTCAAGTTTTGCAAAAAATCGATAAAATCGATATTGATCGATAACGAAAAGTAGCCTATGACACGCTCCCTGCCCCGAAGTATATGTGTGCGAAGTTTGGTCCAAATCGGTTCAGAAATAAAAATTTCTATTCCGCACATACGTACAGACATACAGACAGACATACAGACATACAGACATTCAGCTCTATATATAAGATGAAATGACAAAATTCTAGCAAAATTCAACCAACAATGTATGTTCAGGTATTGCGCACAACCTTCTACTACCATGCCATCAGATTTTCAGTTCCGTTTTTCCGAAACTCAGCGGGTCTGGTCCAGGGCCCGGCGCGAGTCGGTTTCTAGGGTTTCTGAAAACGAAGCCTCCCCTGACTTTCGGAAGTTTTACGAAGTCCTCTTTGACCTACCTGCTTAGGAGAACATGAAAACAAGAAACATTAGTGGTTTGAAAGAAAAGACATAAGATAAGAGTGAAAATCCAAATTGGAGCTGAATACTACACATGCACAAAACTTTGGCATTAGAGCGCGATATTCAACATAGCGAGAAGAAATGAAGGCAAAAAACAAAGGAAAGGCATTGATATGAAAATATGTTCATGCTCAGGGACAGATTTTTGACCGGAGAATCCGTCCATGCCAAAAAGATCCGAAACTTATGTGAAGTGACGAAAATATTGCTCCAGACGATCTCAGATCGTCTGGTGGCCGTCTGGAGACGATCTAATTTTGGAAAAGGTATTACTTCACATGAGTTTTCAAATCTTTTTACATAATACTTCCGCAAATAATTTTCTATACATACAGTTCAATTTTGGTATCATATGCTTCTGTGTACGCTGTAAACAACAATTTGTTTATTTAACCCCTGCATTCAAATCGCGCGCACTTTTCGCCATGCACGATAGAGCATGTCAATCGTGTGATAACCTGTCCGTAAAGCTTGTGTTCGATCAAACGGCGGTTAATGTTGGTGCTCGGCTCCCACTCGTCAAAAACGATCTCCCCTTCGCTGTTTGCTTCAAAAACGAAGTCCAGCCTGCTTCCAGGCGATCTGTGCCGGGCCCTGGTCTGGTCCCAAAAACGTTATCTAACCAGCACCTGAGATCGCCTGCAAAATCAAAACAGACGCCGTCCATATGATAGGTGATAGACTGGAGGAGGTGACAATATGCTAGAGCGAGATATCGGGAGTACATTGAGTACTAATGTACCTCCCGGTCAAGTCTTGCAGGACACCTATGACGACGGTTGCCGTAGAGAACCAATTTTTATCGCGCAGAAAAGCTCATTGGACCTGTTTATTAGGTTTTTTGTGGGTAGGGATTAATTCAGCAGTGCAGTCGAGTTGCATACGGTATGGACAACCGTCTTGTTCTCGTCTAGCAAACCTCAGTGCAGAACTCCTGCCCATCCTGCAAAAAGTCTTGTACTGGTGACACCCTGCAAACTCTTTGTTTTCGAAGCAATCCAATCCTTTTTTTGTCTCATATTGATGAGAAAACGCCTTCTTCCATAATCGGCAAGAAAATCTGAGCAAAACGCTCTTTTTTACTAAGAAAAAAGGGCGAGTGCCGAAAATGCTTCTTTTCCCTTTTGAGAATTCCTCCTTTGGAAGCTGAGAAATCTAAGCAAATCAGCTTTTCATAGAAAAGAATTAATCTCTTTTGAAGAGCATGATCAGCACTTCTCGACGATATACGCATCGTGCCGCAAATCAACCGCTCCTCAAAGAAATGAAAATGAGAATGAAAACTCTACGAACTTATGGAACGACCTAATAATTGAAAAGAACAAAGAGAACGGCACCAACGCCAAATGCCCCGCGCCCCGCGTTTGGGGTAGCGAGGTAGCGCGCAAAGCGCGGAGACGCAGGGGAGCAGCAGAGACAGACCAGAGCCGACGGGGCATTTGGCTCTGGTCGCAAATCTCGGCAAGGTTTCAACGAAATCCTGCAACATTACATATCGCTGTGATCCTCATGACACGGTCAGGAGCAATGACAACGTATGACATAGTTATGTCATAATATCCAAGGCTTCGCCCAGGGTGATTGACTTTTGATCTTTTCTCCAGGTGAAGGTAGTGTTCTATTATGACGCTCAAAGTAAAGGTTACCAGAATACATGGCTCTGTGTATCGAAGATAAGGCTGCTAAAAGGCGACCGCATGAAAATTTGAAGAAGCTGAATACGCAGTATCGAAAACATGCTGTACATCAAAAAAATTGCGTTGATGAGCTGAGCACAATGCTTTTTTGATTTTGAATATATTCATTTCAAGGTAAATTATGCCACTACGTGGTTTGCGCGATTAGCGTATTCCTGAAATTCCCGAAATGTCGCGGATTTCCTGGAAATTTTGCACACTTTTATTTGCATAAAAAACTTATAAGCCATAATCATCTAAACTTCAAAGCTTGAAAAAATCGAAAAATTTTCTATTTAGAGGGACTTCAAGCAACCATAAAAATTGAGAGCTTCGACACGAACAAGAATAGTAGTGAATATGCATCCAAAACGAGAAAAATACCATATCTGGCATAGAATTTTCATTCAGAGAAATTCGAAGAAGTGGATTCAAGTGTTTAAATGCTAACAGATAACTCTTCAAAAGAATAAAAACAAAGTTGCTCGTAATTCTGTACACTTTTGAAGATCTCGCAAAAAAAAAAGAAGAGAATCAAACAATATGAAAAAACAATAACTCTCAGTTCCGTAGCTCAAACTCTGCAAAAAACCGATAAACTCGATATGGATCGGTAACGAAAACAGCCTATAACGTTCGCCCGCCCGACAGACATTCGCGGTTGACGACCGCAGGAGATCCGCCCATTTTCGTTTTGTTTCGAGACGTAATTTTGTCCTGGCGTTGACTCGACTCCACCGGCACATGGTCGGGATTGTTCCGACGCGTATCAAGACAAAATCGTTCAATCGATCGGATTTGTGAGTCGTTCGGGTTTAACTTCCGCGGTCATGCTCAATTTTATTTTTCCATGCATTATTGGTAGACAGCTCCTCTCTTACTCATATCGTAAATAGACCACGTATATGTTACGTCGTTTATCGATCCTTGTTTCTTCAGTATTTCTAATGCAATTCACGACGTTGCATCCCAGTAGTCATTTTTCAGTTGAAACCAGAAAAACCAGAACCAGTCAAAGAAGAAAAAGATGCTTGCTCACTGCTGACTTTGTGGAAGTATTACTACTGCCTTTTGCAATTCAAGCTTTATGTAAGGTTTTATCAAGCGATTCTTCTTATTTTCGATTTGAATATTTTGCTTTTTTTAACGCGACGGCCCTTCTTGATATTTTGCCGGAAACTGTAACGATGCTCTATACCTACACTTTTCACGTTTTGGGAAGATCAGTTTTGATATTCGAGCAAGGGTTCTGACTCATTTTTGAAAAGGAATAAATTTGCCGCAAACGCCTTTTTCACTATTCAAACTTCCACCTGCTTGAAATATACATATTTAAGGTGACCTCCAAAATCTCATATGAAACATGGCA